ACTCGAAAACGATCGCGGGTATTCAGAAAATAAATCCGTATGGCGACGATTGCCCAGTTACAAAAAACGAATGCGTAGGACATGTTGAAAAAAGAATGGGTTTGCAGCTCCGAAATATAAAAAAGAAAGAGAAGCTCGGCGGCAAAAATCGACTGACGGAAGTTCTTATAAAGAAATTGACAATTTTTTACGGCTTGGCTATACGACGAAATGTTAATTCAGTGACAGAAATGAGAAAGGCTATTTTTGCAACCTTGGATCATTACTGTTCAAGCGACGAATCTCCAAGGCACGATAATTGTCCACCAGGCGCCGATAGTTGGTGCAAATGGCGTCAAGCTAAAGCAAGAAATGAATTGTCAACGTATCAGCATGGAGCTCGAGTTATTGACAACAAGATTGAAAAGCACATCCGGCCAATCTACGAAAAACTTTCCACTGAAGACCTTTAATGCTGTCACGTCCGGTGAAAACCCGGACCGTATTTTTCACTTTCGAAAAGAAACAACTCTCCAGAAAATTAATCCTTTCTTAACCCTTTCACATTAACCCCCCCCCCCGAACAAGGGCAACCCTTCACCTCAACCCTTTCACTACCTCACCATCAACCCTTCCTCCGCCCACCGCCACACGGCATCTAAATTTTTCTAAGTCCCTTACATCTAAATTTTTCTAAGTCCCTTACATCTAAATTTTTCTAAGTCCCTTACATCTAAATTTTTCTAAGTCCCTTACTCCTAAATTTTTCTAAGTCCCTTACACCTAAATTTTTCTAAGTCCCTTACTCCTAAATTTTTCAAAGCCCCTTACTTCTAAATTTTTCTAAGTCCCTTACATCTAAATTTTTCTAAGTCCCTCACATCTAAATTTTCCTAAGTCCCTTACTTCTAAATTTTTCTAAGTCCCTTACTTCTAAATTTTTTCTAAGTCCCTTACATCTAAATTTTTTTAAGTCCCTTACATCTAAATTTTCCTAAGTCCCTTACTTCTAAATTTTTCTAAGTCTT